AGTCCCTTAAGACTAAGTTGATGGATATTTCTTCGAAGGACAATGCTAAACATAGGGGTGAGTGAATGGAAACCACCCGATTTGGTTTCAGTAGCATTGATCTGGGTTCCATTATTCACCTTCTATAACTTATGTGTTTGAGTTTTATAAATTTTTTTTTATCTTTTAATTAACACATTACAATTTGTTAAAAAAAAATATATATGGGTGGGTGGGCATCATGCCGCCAACGCCGCGGCCACTGGTGTACCGACGGTACGGCAATTCTTCCACACGGCAGTCGGCAGAATTAAATGGTGAAATGGGATTTCATTTTACGATTAGACCCAGGGGTACGAGAGGTATAAATTAGGCCCGCTACCACAAATACCACTTGGGCCATTATTACCGTTCATTACCGCTAACCCAATTGCGTTTTTATTATTTTGGCCCAATTCCTTAAATTAAACTCTATAAAAAAAATTCAATGGACCTCCAAGCTCCAACCCAGCCCTGTCATTTTTCAAACAGCCGAACTGCTTTATTTACAGCTGGCCTAATTCCTTTTTTTCTTTTTTTTTTGCTATATATTTATTTTGGCCAACATTATCTCTATTATGTTTAATTCATTTTCTTCCCAAAGATGAGAAAAAGAGAAAGAAACATGAGTCACCTGGGTTTTCGAGCCAGCGACTTAAAGCCATGTTTATAATGCACCTCTTTCTCTCTCACAACCGTTCGAATTCAATTTTTTATAAATTTATTTTTTTAAAAAAATATTAAAAAAAAATTCACTTTATTATTAAAAAGTTAAATATTAATTTTGATTTTTTAATTTTAAAATTTTATATAATTTTTATATTTTTTTATATTTTTAAATTTTTTTATTAATTAATTTAAATTTATCTAAATATGTACATTTTTAATTAAAAAATATTATCTAGGATATTGCTGCAACAACAAAATTGAGTAACTGATTCTAACTCTTGGCATTAAACATAACATTAATCAATTGACATCAGATCTTTATTCTATTTGAAGGAGAATGCGAATGGGAATAACTAAGAGTAGGAAAACTAGACATTGTGTTGTATCATGGAGACATAACTACTAATGAGGAAATTACAAAAAGCAATATCAAGAAGCTATATAGAAATTAATCAGAATAACGAGAACACTAAATAAATAATCATACAATTCTCCGACGTGCAAATAACCATCACTATGATCAAGGTAGCAATAAACACAAGTCCAGTTGGATGTGCATGGATCACTGCTTTTCGTCCAATCAAGGTTATTGCTTGGATCTTAAAGCTTATCACGAATAGCTCTAAATGCTTTCACTGCAATTCAGGTTAAAAGTTTGTAACCTGTAACTTGAATATATTCTAGTTTAACATGGAGGCAAAACTGGATCATATAAGCAGAATTCAAATCAAAGCAAAATCAACCTTCCTGGGGGAAATATTATCTGTGCGGAAGAAGAAGTTCTAAGCAACATATAGCTACAGTAGGAATTACACCACAGATTGGTCTTGCCATCTTGATACTCGAATACAAAACAGAAAACAAAAGCATTCTGGTCAGTATAGTAAAAAGGGGAAAAAAAAAAGAAAAAAAGAAAAAAGAAAAAAAGGAACAAGAAGTCCTCATAACCTATGGTTTAGAAAACTCTTAGGCTAGTCAATTATCATACAACAAACAAAAACTATTTCATTCTTTTTATTTTGATGTCCTTCATAGGAACTACAAGTAATATAGAGTTTTAAAGCAAAAATAGTAGTGTCAAGGAAAAAGAAGAACACATGGAATGATGGATATGGTAGGAAAACCGAGAAGAAAGATGAAAACACAACCTGATGTGTTCAAGAGAGACTTGAAGCATCATGCACGGAACCAAGAGGGTAACTAGTAGTTGCACTATTATATATGCAATAAGGCAAAACCATAAGAAATGTCAGAAAATGGAAGATTAATCAGTAGCAGTACTAAGGATCAGATAAAATAATGCTGTCTCAGTTGAAGATTTTGAAGATTTAGAATTGAGGTTTTTGTCTCCTAGGACTTGGTCTCTGAAACTTGGATGCTGGATGGTTGGAGCTTATGTAAGGCGCCAAAAGTCCACGTGTTTGAATTGCTTTGCTGGTGTTTTCTTTTTCAGCTGACATGAACTAGGATAATTTTATATGTAGTTCTCTTTATTGTCAGCTGACATGAACTAAAATAATTTCGGTTATTTAGTTCCCGAGTGCAACCAAGGTAGGCTGACTCTGGAGATTGGCCCTATAACCATACTGCGCTGAATGTTTCTCATGTTGTTTACTATCAAAGCCAGAGAAGATTACGTGAAGTTATCTCATAAGCTGACTTTTAAGTTTTAACCATGAAAGAATGACTCATTGTAACCTTTTAACAATAAAAACTCCGACTTGGAGAGAGGGACAAACCATGACATGAACAAAACAAAATTTCATTCAAGTGCAATCACATTTGATTATTAATCAATCCTTTTCAACAGGCCAGAAGCAAGGAAAAATTAAAAAATCTAATGTTTGGTTCTGGTTAGTTTGGAGGAGTAATAACTATATAACCCGAAAATCTAGCCTGGAATTTGTCAACTGATTATCAATGAAAAAACACATGACGTTATAGAAATCTTTAAATCAAATTTACCCATTCAGCTATTAAGCAGACTGAGTCTTTACCAAATATGATAAAGCTAAAAAATTTTATAAATAATAGACAAAATTCAGTTGCTTAACAGCTGAGTTGACCTTATATTAAAATGACATTTCACTAAAAATTTCCTTGAATATGATAAATTCAAGGAGGGAAAGCAGGGTTTCAGTCCGAATTGGCAAAAAAATTTATTATTGAAGGCAGTAGAAAATGTCGCACTAGGTAGTTCTTTAAAATTGTATTAAACTCAGAGGTGCATTTTCAGAAAATCCAGTGAGTAGAAGTATATGATGCCTACATATCAATATCAATTGGTTTCCAAATACATCTTATAATAAAAACTTCCCAAGTAACTACCACCTTGTTACATGATCCACTTATGATTCAACCAAGTCTAACTGACATTGTGGACCAGGTAAATAATACAGACCAGGTAAATATTGCAAAATCTGGGTTGGAGGATATGTAGTGTGGCCTACCCCAAAAGGTTATAAGAAAATTAAGAAAGAGAAATCTATTTGATGAATGTTATGTTTTACTAATGGCGAAACCCAGATCATGCCACTGCTTCTCTTTCATATTTTAACGGCAAAATTAACTCATACCGTTTCATGGAAAACTTTGTACATTTTGAAAAGAATTATACACAAACGTTGCCTGTTGCCTGCAGTCTGGAATCTGTCATAAAGAAATTCTACTGAGCAACCATTTCAACTAGTTGCGTATCTCATTGCACATCATACTTCAACGCTAATATATACTTCAAGACTGCAAGACCGTTAATGAAATTGAAGCAAGAACAGTGTCATTGTTTATTACACAATACAATACAAGAAATTGAACTGTCTATAACAGAGTTCCTCATCAAGCAAAGAGTCACATAAAATAGAAATTGTTTGGAAGGACATTTCAAGTGCAAAATAAACAAAAAACTGACTATACAGGAAAACAAGCATTAATCAAAGTTTAGGAGGGCTAATGTCCGATGAAATAAAGGTAACTCTATCATCACAAATAAAGCCAGATGAGATAAATCTCATTTCATTTTGTCTCACTGCTCAACTCAAGAAATTTGCTTCGACATTGTATGAAATCCTGCCAGAATCACAAGGGTATAAAAGCAATTAATTATATCAACGCCTATGACATGATCTCAACAATTGATTTTAGGTCTTTTAGGAGTTATGCGTAAGAGATATAAAAGGAAACAAAAGATCAATAGCCAAGGAGCAACACTACAAAATAGGTAAGCAGACTAACTAGTCGAGAAATGAGTTAAAGACGATTTGTGCTAAGAAAACTTACTTGTGAAGGATAGATTATTCATCTTCAATTTCGGAAGCGTCAGTCAATTTCTCTAAAATGAAAGTAAAATCCTCTTCTAAATCCAGGAATGGGAGGAGGATATCCTTAGCGGAAGGACCGTCCCACACCAGTGATTCCCACCATTCTCTTGAATTTGGGCGGATTGCTTCCAGTGTAGGAGGAGGACGGAGCTTTCCATCAGGAAGCAGGGGAAGATATAAAGGGATCCTATTTAGCTTTGGACATTCAACTATTACAATTCTTTCTAAAGAATCAGACACCATTACTCCTCTTGCAGCACATATGCTCTTCAATTTTGGTAAGGCCACCAATTCCAAATATTTCAATTTGGGAAGAAAGAAAGTAATTGTTTCATTTTCTCCATCTGTCACGAGAGTTTCTTTCTCTTCTTCCACTTCTGTTATTTCCTCCATTTTTGTGCAGCCAATAACATAAATCTCCCCCAAGTTCTGCAGACCCTTCAACAACTCAGGTGGAAACAGCTTCTTGATTCTTGGACATTTATATATAAACAACACCTTAAGATTGGAAAAGATGGAAGGCAAGGTTGGTGCACACGATGTAGATGGAGCTGATGCTGCTTGCCCTTTCACTTTCACAAGTTCATGCAAGTTAGGCAATTTAACAAGCCTTAGAATTGAAAACCTATCAAAGGGACTGCAATCTGAGGACAATGAGAACAACTCAAGCATGCACTCCAACTCGTCAACTTGCTTGATTTGACATGATCTTAAATCTGATAATGCCTTAAATTCAAAAACATCATTTAAGCTTTTCAAGCCACAACACTTTGTAATCCACAAAAGCTCAAGGTCATCTGGAAGCAACACGGGATAATCTTCATTGATTTCCATTCCACTTAAATTTAACATTTTAGAGCAATCATCATCACCGAAATCAGAAACAGAATCAGACTCGGCATCGGAAGAATCATCATCATCATCATCATCAGTTGCTTCTACACTAAGCTCATGGCTAGTACGCTTTTGACCTTGAAAAGACTGGACAAAATTGTTGAAGTCTTTTAGGTCATCAAATCCCTTGTGAAGTGAATGATCATAGCATGGCTTTAAGAAGGGTAGGTAGATATCCTTAGCAGAAGGATTGTCCCATGATAGCAATTCCAACCATTCTTCAGACTCTATGCGGATTTCTTGAAGTGAAGAAGGCAGAGAGCGCTCACCGTTGGGAAGCAGGGGCAGATATAAAGGGATCCTATTTAGCATAGGACAGGCATATATTTTAATACATTGAAGAGAATCACAAACCATTACTCCTTGTGTAGTACAGATGCTCTTCAATTTTGGTAATTCCCTCAAACTCAACTTTCTTAATTTGGGAAGACCTAATCTGATGGTTTCATTGTTTCCCACTGTTGTGATAGTTTCTTTCTTGTCTTCCACCTCTATTATTTCCTCCACTCTTCGGCAATATCTAACACCAATCTCCTCCAAGTTTTGGAGACATTTCAGCAGCCCAAATGGAAACAGCTTCTTGATTCTTGGACAGTTTCTTATTTTAAAAATTTTAAGGTTGGAAAATATGGAAGGTGGCGTTGCTGCCCGTGATGCCGAGGGAGCCGATGCTGCTTGAGCTTCCACTTTCACAAGTTCACGCAAGTTAGGCAATTTAACAAGCCTTAGAATTGAAAACCTATCAAAGGGACTGCAATCTGAGGACAATGAGAGCAACTCGAGCATGCACTCCAACTTGTCAAATTGCTTGACTTGACATTATCTTAAATCTGATAATGCCATAAATTTAAAAGCACTGTTTAAGTTTTTCAAGCCGCAGCACTTAGTCATCCTCAAAAGCTGAAGATCACCCGGGAGCAATACCGGATAATATTCATTGATTTCCATTCCACTTAAATTTAACATCTTAGTGCAATCTGAGAAGATTTTCTGTATTGATTAATTCTGAACAGGCATAGTACAATATATAGAAGCTGAACCTAATCTACTTAGGAAAGAATATATATATATAATATTTATAATTACAGCTTTGAGATCTTCAGAATCTAAGAATTCATGGAGAGGATCCAGCCTTCATGGAGGAGATTTAGAGC